TCAGGAGCAGGCCCTGAGCACCAGAGCCATTGAGGCCCAGATATACCACACCAGACAAGACCCAGGGTGTAGGTTGTGCAAAGAGGCACCTGAGACGATCCAACACATAACTGCAGGGTGTAAGATGCTGGCAGGGAAAGCCTACATGGAACGCCATAACCAGGTGGCTGGCATCGTCTACCGAAACATCTGTGCGGAGTATGGACTGGAAACCCCAAGGTCAAAATGGGAAATACCTCCGAAGGTGGTGGAGAATGACAGAGGGAAGATCCTGTGGGACTTCCAGATCCAGACTGACAAGATGGTAATGGCGAACCAACCAGATATCGTGATCATAGTTAAAGGGCAGAGGAAAGCCGTTGTAGTAGATGTAGCGGTCCCAAGTGATGGAAGCATCAGAAAGAAGACACACGAAAAACTAGAGAAATACCAAGGGCTCAGAGAGGAGCTGGAGAGAGCCTGGAAGGTAAAGGTGACAGTCGTGCCTGTGGTGGTCGGAGCACTCGAGGCAGTGACCCCCAAACTAGATGAGTGGTTGCAACAGATCCCGGGAACAACATCGGACATCTCAGTCCAGAAATGTGCAGTGCTGGGAACAGCAAGGATACTGCGCAGAACCCTCAAGCTTCCTGGCCTCTGGTAGAAGACCCGAGCTGAATGGGGGACGGACACTACCCGAGGGGTGAGACGAGGATAGATACATATATATCGCTGCCTGTTTTTTGAGTGAATTGTTTTTTAAAACTTTCCAATTATGGCACAGTATGTCGGAATTAACCTTTTCTGAACTGCAATGTAAAAATAAAACAGTGTAGTGTACCTCATACGTGAGAAAAAAGACTGAAATTGTGAGTTTCCTCACGGTAATAAAACAGTATGATAGAAAATGAAACAAAATGAACTCTTGTCTGAGATGTTCATAAGCAAAATGATGACTTACACTCCACTCGCTACATCCCTTCTCCTCCACAGTTTCCTCCTCAGTTGCTTCCTCATACCTCCTATTTGTTCTTGACCTGACTTTCCAAACAGGTCTCAGCCAAAAATAGAAATGACTAGTAAGGTACATCATCAACTCCGTGCGGAAATTCCATAGGGAAGGTGTGGCTAGAGTGTGGAACTCGGGAGATATAGAGCAGTGACTTTTTTTTTTGTTGCTTTCTACTGTCTTCATTATTAATTATTGTTTTATTGTTGTATGTATGATATTTGCTCCATGTACAGCACTTTGTATACAGCAATGGTGGTTTTAAAGTGCTCTATAAATACACTTGAGTTGAGTGACTGAAGTATTGATCTGAGAGGAGAACCAAATTGCACCTTGTGTGGACCTATGGCAAACACGCCATTTCATTCTATGTACTACTAAGGATGATTCTCCATTGAAAAGTATATTAAGGTCTGGAAAACAAGCGAATCCGATTTTGGCATCATTGTGACATGGATTCGGCATTTATTATTCAAGTAACGATTCCTGCACACTTTGTGGCTGCTCCACGCCCACTTGACTTTGGAAAGCTCAGGAAAAATGGGTGAACATCTGCACACCTACGAAAATGTTTACACTACCTGCCGACATCAGAATAGTTGGGGAATGAATGGCTTAGAATTATTTTGGAAGAAATCTCGAAGCATTTTGGAACCGAAACTGTTCTGTATTTTGCAGCCACTTGCACCGTGAAGCGGCGCGGCTTCTCTGGCCGAGCTGTGAATATGAATTTTGGTGACTATTGGTCACATTTTTCAGACACTAGGTGACAACAGAGCTTGCCAAAGCAAGCCAAGAATCAATATTACAAGGCTTGACTCCTTTCACTGATGTGGTCAGGCTGAAAAAAAGCAGGCTATGCCCATAAAAAAACAACCATCATAAAGATTACAGTATTTGTTTGTATCTCTCTCACTCTCCCCTTCTCTCTCTCCCTCTCTAGCTCTATCTGTCTCTTTTCTAACACACACATAATTTCACACAGTCTTTCGAACTGGGGTCTTCAATCTTGTTCCTCAAGAGCTGCTGTCCTGCCCGTTTTTTTTCTTCTCTCCCTGCTGCAACACACCTGATTAAATGATCAGGATCATTTGAATAACGCATGTTGCAGCAGCGAGAGATGGAAGACTTGCAGGAAAGCGGCCCTCGAGGAATTGCATTGAAAGCCTTTGTATCAGAATTAATGCACTCCGAGAAATGCTTTTGCTTCGATAGTGTATCTCTGTGCGTGCATGTGTGTGCACATCTGTGGGAATACAAACAAAAACCCTGAACAAAACACTCTGTAATCTTCTTACAGAGGGCGGGATTATTCATCCAGAGAGCAACCCTGATTTCTTTAATATAACCTTTCCTGTCTACACAAGTTGCGACTATCGCATCCACTGCTGTGATATCTGTCATCATCAAAAATGGCCTCTCAAAGTAGAAAAAAAAAGTTATCTAATTGGAGTTTTCATAGCACTATAAGGGTAGTGAAAATCCTTCTTTCATTTGCTTCTAACAATCGGTGACTATTGAGAACTGTGTTTGGATTGGAATTGAAGAAGATGAAGTGAATAGTGATTTGAAATGAGAAAAATAATGTACTTTTAGTTTGATTGAACATTTAAACAAATGATTCATCCAATTGAATTTAAAACAATTACATTGCACGTGGGTTAACTTGCCCTATGATGCTTACTGTGTGCTTCATAGGACCTTGGCAGTTAGATTTGTGTGTTTGCATTTGTGTGTGTGTGTGTGTGTGTGTGTGTGTGTGTGTGTGTGTGTGTCATATGAAAGACAGACAACACAGTGTGGGAAGGTCCTCTCTCTCTCTCATATGAATTTCAAACCCACCGAATCATACTATTGTGGG